TAAAATATAATTATAGAAAAAAAAGAAAGAAAAAAAAAAGAACCAACTATATTTGACGTAATTTTCCATCAAGTCAGAACCAACTTCTAGCTGACCTTCTAGTGGATATTATGCCTTGGAAATATTGCCCATCTTTCTCTCACAGAGTATCTGGTGGATTGGAACTATGTGCCTTTGGGTTGGGAACACAGTTCCTTACTGTTAAGTTACCAGAATCCACCAATTGTTCTGCAGGAGAAAAGTGGGCACTCTCCAACTTTGTAATTCAGTGCTCTGAAAACTCAGTGGAGGGTCAGCTACGAGTTGTTCAACTCTACAGTACACAACAATAATCACCTAAGTAAGGTGAAAAGAGCGATATTTGCGCAAGGACAAATCCTCGAAAGGTAGGATTGGAGGATTAATGGAATGAGAATTACAGGAAGTAGGAAAAGTATGATTAATTTGTATTCTAATTAATGCCATCATACAAAATGTGTCTGGATGGTGGAATCAAAAGTCATTCTGCTTTGTAAACTATTTTCAAATAAAAAGAAACTCACGAATTTAAAAATCTCTGGAGCATAGTTTCACTTTGACGTCTATCCATAAATTGGAAAGCACACAATGGCAGCTGCTTTGGAGTTCTAGAGTAAACAAGTAAAAGAATTTCCACACCAGTTTTGAGTGTCAAAACAAAAGTAGGGAGACATTCAAAGAGAGAAGTTTTTTTTTGATTTGTACCCAGTGTTTGCTATAGTTATCAGAGGTAGAAAAGGCAATAAGTAGGAAAATTCTCTACCAATAGTCCTTGGTGTGCTAATGATTATTTAATTGTTGCTATTTCCCCAATCAGGAGTGTTTAGTGCTGATCCATGCCGACCAAACAAATATCCATAGTGTACAATGCCTTTTAGGAGCTGAGTGTTTTAGTCAGCATCTTACGTTGTTTTCGGACAGAAAGGCTGTAACTCTCTAAGGATCTGTAAACATCATCAGAGTCAAGTCAAAACCAACTCTCCAGTGGGTTTTCAGAGGCTGTAAACCACACAGGGGTAGACTGTCCATCTTTCTCCATGGAGTAGCTGACGGAGCTGAACCACGTGCCTTTGGTCAGCGCAGCTCCTTACCACGAGGCCACCAAAGCTCTCTTGTAAACATCAGAGTTAATGAAGTTGAGGATTATTGTCATTATTATTATTGTAAATTAAATGGGAAGAAAGTAATGCTTACAGTACCTGTATGTTGTTCTTCAATCCAAACTTGCAAGTACATGAAGAGGAGCAGTCCTGCAACTCCAAATATCAGCACAGACAGGAAGACTTGTTTGGGGTTCATGACCATTTCAGATTGCTGCATCTCTTCCCATTTCTGAAGATCACATGATTTGTTTTCTTAAAAAATTTCAGTCTTTTTCTGCTCTCTTAAGCACATACTCCATGAAGTCACCTACAACGAAAACCAAAACCCAAATACAGTGTTATTTGGGAATTATATTTACAATGACATCTGGAAACTCTATAAACCTTGCTCAGGTCTTTTCGTTCATAGGGTCGCTATGAGTCATCTATGACTCGACGGCACTTAACAACAATGACGACATAGAGAGAGTTTTGTTGGCCTAGTGGGACAGAAAGTTATGGTACCTAGCCCAAGGTGGGTGATTTTAATCTGCAGCCCTCAGACCTGGTTTAAGTTGTTTTTTGTCAAACACTCATCTAAGTGGTATAGCACTGGTCTGTGTATTGCTGTACAGAGGTAACTCGTGGTTGCTGTGACGCTAAACACTATGACACCGATGTACCAAATGTGATAATGGTTACCCATGGGGGACAGTGTCTGGTAGAACTTCCCGATTAAAACAAGTTTGGAAGCAGGAGCGGCATCCACTTCCGAAATGGCTTGCCTCCGGAAACTCTATGAACAGCGTTCAGGTCTTTCATTCATAGGGTCGCTATGAGTCGTCTACAACTCGAAAGCACCTAACAACAACCACAACAACATATTTATAATATTGAAGAACTTAAACTGTAAGATAATGCAGACAGGAAGATGGTAGATAATGTTCCTAGAGTGTCTCTCTTTCACTGTATTCTTTTACTTACTGAAAAATGAAAACTGTACTCATTATTATCAAGCTGATTCCAACTCATAGTGGTTGTCCATTGGGCTTCCAAGCCTATAAATTGTAACAGGAGATTTTCCATCTTTCTGCTGAGATGTCTGGTGGATTCAAACTACCAACGACTTGAGCCCTTTTTGAATAGCATCACAACACACCACATAGTACACCACCTTTTATATAAGGGGTCTATCAAGGAGCCTTGCTGTTGTTATGTGCCATAGAGTCATCTGCCTCTGAAAATCCACTAGAAGGTCAGCTATGGCTTGGTTCCAATTCGACATTCCACCACCATAACAACAATAAAATTAATTTGTTAAAAGATGCGCTGCATTGGAAAATCGCTGTTAATATCAATCTAAAATACTAAAGAACAATGATGGCAACTCAAAGACTAAGGTGCACCTGATCCAAGTAGTTGTCTTTTCAGTTACTTTCTAGACATCTGAAAGTTTGACAATAAATAAAGGTGACAGAATAAGAATTGATGCCTTGGAATTGTGGTGTTAAGAGTGTTAAATATCCCACAGATTGCCAAAAGAACAAATAAGTTTATCTTGAAGGAAATGCGAACTTGGAGACATGGATGATGAAACTTTTTCTCACATACTTGTGGTATGTTGTAAGAAGGGGCCAGTGCTGGAAAAAGACATCATGCTGGGAAAGGTGGAGAGTCAAAAAGACAGGAGAGCTCCACCCCCAATAAGACAGACTGACACAGTGACTGTGACAGGGGGTTCGCGTGTATTAGAGATGGTGAGGACGGGCAGGGTTCAGATGTGTTGTCCGTGGGGTCACTACAAGTCTGATGGCACCTAGTGACAACAACAACACTGAGTGGTAAGCATAACCTCGATGTTGGGTTGGGGTTTTTGTTTTTCCAAGTTACACTTTGGGACATCTAATGAAAATGTAAAATTTCATCTCAGAAAATCATGAACATGTAAACATTTTGCATAAAATGCCAGCATGTTCAAACACACAGAACTGCAGGGTAGGACTTGGCTCCGCAGTGTGAGCAGCCCAGCCAATGAGGCCAAGGTTATGACTGCAGAGAATGCTGGCAGGGACCCTGCCCACATACCACATCTGTTCTGAGTGACCTGAATTAGTGCTTCCTCAGTGTGAGGACAGTACATCCACTGCTGTGCCTGAAAATTATCTTTTCCCCTCCACCAATATGTTTCAAACAGTTCTGAGGAAATATTGATTTGGCCTTTTCCAGAAGTGTTTGATAAGGTGCCAGTAAAAATTAAAAGTTGCTGTGGTAAATTGCTAGCCTGGGTAAAGGATAATATTGAGCTTTTCCTGCAGAACCAATTTTGCACGTACTTTGGGCTTCAAAGGTCATCTAAGAGGGCAGAAGTGGAAATAATGTATGAAAGTGATTAAAGCAGCCACTGGATGAAACCAAATGCTCAAGAAGTTAAATGTTATCATACAGAACAAAAATGTACAGTATATTATATTTTTCCCCTTCTATATCTTTTACTTAATCGTGCTTATGTGAAACCTATTCTTAGACCAGGAGACAGTCATGAGAACTGGGCAAGAGAACATTGTATGATTCAAAATTGGGAAGGTTGTATGCCAGGGCTGTGTCCTATCTCCATACCTTTTCAATCTATATGCAGAACAGCTTATCTGGGAGGCTGGGCTGTATGAGGAGAAGTGTGACATCAGGATTGGAGATCATTGACATCAGTAATCTACATTATGTAGGTTACACAATGCTGCTTGCTGAAACTGAGGAGGATCTGAAGCACTTGCTGCAGAAGGTCAAGGACTGCAGCTTTCAATATGGATTGAGGCTCAATATCAAGAAAACAAAGATTCTCACCACTGGACCGACTGGCAGCATCATGATGGATGGTGAAGAGACTGAGATTGTAAACAGTTTTACTTTGCTTCTTTCCACCAAAACTGTTGTCACTAGCAGCCAGGAAATTAAAAGACATATTGCACTGGGAACGTATGATCTCAGATACCTCTCGAAAGTACTGAAGAGCGATGATGTCAGTCTAGAGACTAAGGTGTGCCTGTTACAGGCCATGGTCTTTGCAACCACTTGCTATGCATCAGAGAGCTGGACAATGACTAGGGATGATAGTAAGATAATTGATGCCCTTGAGCTGTGGTGTTGGAGAAGAGTATTGACTATACCATGGACTGCTAAGAAAACAAGCAGGTTCATCCTCGAGAGGGTGAAGCCAAGCTGCTCCTTGGAGGCAAGGATTCTGAAGCTTTGTCTGACATACTTTGGATGTCTTGCAAGGAGGGACCAGTCCTTGGAGAAGGATGTCATGCTTGGGAGGGTGGAGAGACAGCTCAGGAGAGGAAGATGCTCGATGAGATGGACTGACTTGGTGACTGAGGTAATGGGAGTAAGTGTGTCAGAGACAATAAGATTAGCACAGGATAGAGTAGGGTTTAGGGCTGTTGTACATAGAGTTGCTATGAGTTGCAGGCGACTCAACAGCACATAGCATATCTTCTACTTATTACATAACAACAACTTATCTTTTACTTAATACACAAAATAAGCTAGAAGGGCAGTGGTTTTTAAAACCTACCTCGAAGCATATTCTCAAAATCCATGTTTCTTAGTCCCTTTAGAAAAGGACAAGGGCTACAATTTCAGGGGTATTTTTCTGTATACGTTGTCAGTTTGGGTAGCATTTTGAAAGTTTTTAAATAAGTCAAAGAACTGGCTAAAAGTATGATCCTCATGCCTATTATAGAGAGTCCCTGGCTGTCACAAACTGCCATTCACTTGGTTACCAACTAAAAGATTGGTGGTTCAAAACTACATGATGTCCACAGTACAGGCTGTTCTTACATGGGGCTCATCCCTGAGGCTGCAGAACTAAGAATTCCCAGGGTCCATTAGATGGACGCACCTCTGTTGCCACATACTGTGTTCTGGTGCAGATTTTAATGCATATTTTTACATGCACATGTTGGCACCAACGGCAAGTTCTGTGCCAGGTTTTATACACATATCCATGATATATGTAACCATAATATGTGTTACATCTACTGATCCAGTGAAGGTTTTTCTTTAGACTTAAAAGAAAAAGAAAGAAAACTTCATAACAGTACTTCCAGTTCTGAAGAACGAAGCCCTGTCAATATACTTTTGAAAGGTCATGGTCATTAAAAACATAAAGCTATTCTATCTACAAGTAGCATTTCTATATACTCTGACATGCATATGGTTTATCATGCAACAGAATGGAAACAACAATTGGTTTGGTTTCTCGTTTATTTTGGGCTGATAATTGGCCTTCAGATAAAATACAATAAAAGCAATACTGAGTTTCTAAACACATACAGCAAAGAACAGCTCCCAAGGGAGATTTGCTTTGTGAGATGTTCCAAAATTGACTCCCTCAAGGAAAAAGTGACGACGAGAAAGGAACCAGCTTTCTCTTTTCTTGATGCTGCCATTAAACAAACAAACAAAAAAAAAAAACCAGACTGTATTCCTGGGTACAGAAGACTCAGAGAAGAGGAAACCGGTTAAACAAAATCTACTCCTAACAAAGAAATAGCTGTTTACAAGAAGAAAGAGATTTGACAATCTGTCCACATAATTAAAACTCGTCTCAGAAGAGAGAGGATAGAAGAAAACTCATAAATCCAAATAGAAATACAAAGCTGTGGGAATGGTGGGTATGAACACCAAAAAGACGTATTCCTGGAAGGGTCTACAGAGGAAAATTATTACCTGAGATGCTGGGGAAAGATTAAGAATGTGCCCTTCCTTTCTCCCGGAGTTGTTGCTATACTCTGACATATCCTCGTGGGTGAGAAGGCAGCAGAAAACCCATAATTGTTATTGTGGCAGATGTGAGTAGGACTGAGTGATTAAAGCCACAAGGCAGAAAGGCAATCTGGTGTAAAACGGAGAGATACGTTTGATTTTCTCCCATCTCAGTCCATTAACCCAAAGTTGGCGTTAGGAAATGGCTCTCATTAAACAAAGGTGAGGCACAAGGCGCAGCGGTATGGCTTTGGGCAAACCTGAAGGTCAGCACTGATGGGAAAATATACCTCTTTGGAGATCATATATCCTCCTCCCAGCCTGCGGAAAAAGTGCAGACTACTGAAGATTGAAATTACTTGGAATAACGTTCTTTTATGTACATGTGTAATACACCATTTCCATGGTCAAAAGCTCCTTGTATCGGAGACAACTCAAGTCCCCCTCCAACACATAAACATAGCACCATGA